TATGTTTGCACGTATAGGAGGATTAGGAGGAACTTGACGGAGGACCAAGGGGGAGAAGAAGGGCGGAAATGGTGGGGGAAAGGGAGAGAGGCAAACCATGAGAGACTCTTGAATGCTGACAAAAACTGAGGACTGATGGATGTGGGGGGGAGGGGGGGATGGGCATGAAGGAGGGCACTTTGGGGATGAGCACTGAGTGTTATGTAGAAACTAATTTGACAATAAACTATTTGTAAAAAAAAAAAAAAAAAAAACAGTTATACCAATTCTAGTAAAATTATTAAGACTGTTTTGCGGATAGAGAAAATTTGCTTCCAGTTTCCCTTGAGGTCAGTTTTAAAATGGCTTCAAGAAGGAATGAAGTTCTAACACATGCTACAACATGGGTGAAACTTGAAAACATTATGCCAAGTGAAATAAAAATAAGCCAGACATTCTATGTATAAAACAAGTTATTATATGATTCCATTTAGACAGGATAGCTAGAATAGACACAAAGAGGCAGAAAGTAGAAAAGAGATTACCAGGGGCTCTGGAGTTATTGTTTTAATGGGTATAGAATTTCTATTTGGGATGACAAAAAGTTCTGGAAGTAGATACTGGCAATGATGACATAACATTGTGAATATACTTAAGGCCAATAAGTTGTGCAATTAAAAATGGTTAAAATGGTAAAACTTGCATTATATATATTTTATCACAATAATCACCCCTTAACCATGAACTTAACAAATATAAGTCATCACACATGCTCTCGACCCTGCTCTGATGTCCAACTTCACAAATCCTTATTATTCTTAGATCTCAACTGAAACATTGCTTCTTCATGGAAATCTTCCCTGAATCATAAACTAGGGAAAATTTCTGTGTTATACAGATTTCTCCTTCATATTTATTTATAGTTTTTCCATGATACTTATTTATGCATTATTCCATAATTATTTCCTTCACTGGAATGTAAAGCTCCAATGAGACTGTTCAGTTTTGCTCACTCTGAATCTCTGGTGCTTGGATGCATCATAACTATTACTGGAATTTGTGAGTGAAAAGAAAATTTGTAAAGCTTTGCACCAGTGACACGTATTATGGAAGATCAAAAGATACAAATTGAAAAAAAGTAACTAATGATCAACAATATCAAACAATTCATTTTAGCATGCTCCAAAGACCTGTATAAGCAAGTTTAAACTAAGGTCTTTATCCAATAATTGGATGTACTTCATCTTTTAATTATTTTACTGATTCAGTACATTTATAGTGACAGTGAAGTCTGTAAAGGCATATTACTTTGCAAAGTACAAATTAGATAAAAATTTCAAATAAGATCAGAGTTTGTTTTTCAGGGGTTTTTTTTTAATGTTTATTTTTGAGAGAGACAGAGACAGAGCACTAGCAGGGGAGGGGCAGAGAGAGAGGGAGACAGAGAATCCAAAGCATCAAATAAGATACAAGTTTTTTGGGGCACCTGGGTGGCTCAGTCACTTAAGCGTCCAACTTTGGCTCAGGTCATGATCTCATGGTTCATGGGTTCGAGCCCCACGTCGGGCTCTGTGCTGACTGCCAGCTCAGAGCCTGGAGCCTGTTTCAGATTCTGTGTCTCCCTCTCTCTCTGACTCTCCCCGGCTCACGCTCTCTCTCTCTCTCTCAGAAACAAAACATTTTAAAAAATGAAAAAAAATATGAGTTTTTAATCAAGCAAGGCATTCTCTTGAGCAAAACATATGGGTGTGAACACAAATGGGATCTCATTTATGAAAGGGTAAAACTACAAAAATCAAGGCTGAAATACTCCCCATGAAGGTTTCTCTACCCCAGCAGTATGGACATTATATGACTGTATCCCAATTAACCATTTTAAAATATAAAACTAAGTGGCATTAACTGCATTCACAATGTTGTGCAACCACCATCACTATCTATTTCCAATATATTTCATCACCCAAATGGAAACCCTGCACCAATGAAGCATTAACTTTCTCATTCCACACAACCTTGGTAACTTCAAATCTACTTCTTGCCTCTATGAATTTGACTCTTCTATTTTATTTTTATTTATCCTTTTTTTAAAGTTTATTTATTTTGAGAGAGAGAGCATGCATGAACACACAGAGAAGGGGCTGAGAGAAGAGAGAGAATCCCAAGCAAGCTTGGATTGTCAGAGTGGAGCCCAATGTGGGGCTCAATCCAACCAACTGTGAAATCATGACCTGAGCCAAAATCAAGAGTTGGATGCTTAACTGACTGAGCCACTCAGGTGTCCCCAGTTTGACTCTTCTGGATGATTCACATAAGTAAAATCATACAGCATCTATGTAATAGCTTATTCCATTTAACATGTTTTTAAGGTTCATATTGTAGCATGATTCAGAACTTCACTCTTTTTTATGGATGAATAATATTCCATTATATGTATATATCACATTTTATCCATTAACAGTTGAGGGACACTCGGTTGTTTCCACCTTTCTGAAAATGTGGAGGAGCGCCTGGGTAGCTCAGTTAGTTAAGTGTCCGGTACTTGATTTCTGCTCAGGTCATGATCTCATGGTAAGATTGAGCCAGTATCGGGCTCTGGGTGGACAGCGTGGAGCCTGCTTAGGATTCTCCCTAGTACCTCCTGTGTTCTCTCTCTCTCTCAAAATAAATAAATAAACATTTTTTAAAAACCTGAAAATGTGGATACTACTACTGAACAGTGAAGTACAAGTATCTATACTTATACCTGAGTCCCAGTTTTTAGTTCTTGTGGGTATTTATATAGGAGTGGAATTAGAGGAGGGTCATATGGTAATTCTACGTTTAAGTTTTTGAGAATCCACCAAACTCTTTTACCCCGCAGCTGAATCACTTTACATTCCCAACCATCTACAAGAGTTCCAATTTCTCCACATCCTGATACTTGTTTTCTTTTATTAAAAAAAAACCTTGTGCTTTGAATTTGCACTTCCCCAATGACTAAATGATGTTAAGAATCTGTGCACTTATTGGCCATTTGTATATCTTCTTTGGAGAAAAGTCTATTGAACTCCTTTGCTCGTTTTTAAAACTGGGTTGTTAAGTTGCAGAAGTTCTTCAAACATTCTGGATATTAAACCTTTATCAGATATACGATTTATGAACATCCCCTTGCATTCTGTGGGTTATCTTTTCACTCTCTTGAAAGTCTTTTTTGACATAAAAGAGGTTTTGATTTTAGTGAAGTTCAGTTTACCTATTTTTTCTTGTTGCCTATGTTTTTGGGGTGTCTTATTTAAGAAACCATTGCCAAATTCGACACCATGCAGATTTGTCTCTACATTTTCCCCTAAGAGTTTTATGGTTTTAGTTCATAAGTTTAAGTCTCTAATGTATTTTGAGTTAATTTTTACATAAGGTAAGGGTCCAAATTCATTATTCTGAATGTGTATATGGTTTTCCCAGCACCTTTTGTTGAAAGGACTCTCCATATAAATATTGAGAATAGAAACCAATTTAAATATAACTTGATACGCGCTACACTTTACACGTGACAAAAGACAATTTCAAAAAAGGAAATATGAAGAGCCCTCAGCCAATCAATCAGGAGTAATCAACATTCCTGTACTATGTGCAAAGCCTATGTTGACTGCTGTGAGGGTAATAAATTTAAGGTACAGTCTATATTTTTTAGGAGCTTAAAATTTACTTGGGAAAGTGAACCACTACACTAGTCAAGTTAACTAAATTTAAGGCATGCATGGAGCCAGGCCAAATGAACACTTCAGACAATATGAACTATGGGGTTGGAGGAGGCAGTTATCACTGCCAGCTGCAATGGAAGATTTTCTTTGTTGGCATTAGCATTAATCCAGCCACGTAAATCATTTGTGAAAGAACAAAAGCAAAACAGAAAACTGAAATCCATACACGTGGTCTCTTTTCTAGCATGTTCCAAGTATCTTCTGTTATTTTAATAACAATTTTTCATCAAAAGACTAATGTGGTCAGATTTATAAAACATATGCAACTAGTACAATGAATTTGTTTCCAGTGTTTATAAAAGAGTAACAGGAAATATGACAATTTTTCCTGCCTTTCATATTCCACAAATTCAAAATATGGCATTTCCCCTATAATTCTTTTAAAGCACAACATACTAAGTTATAGTATATATAACTGACAAATAAGTTATGTTAAAAATAAATACAATAGTTTGAAAAACACACACACAACATACTTGTTAACATTTAAATAAATGTATTTGAAAACTTTCCCTCTTCCATGGGCATGGTATTCATGTTCATTTTAGTTAAGATGTTTTAAAAAAATTTTTAAATTTTCTTTTAACTTTTTAAAATATTTTATTTATTTCTGAGGGAGAGAGACAGCATGAGCAGGGGAGGGTCAGAGAGAGACGGGGACACAGAATCTGAAACAGGCTGCGGGCTCTGAGCTAGTTGTCAGCAAGAGCCCAATGTGAGGCTCGAATCCACGAACCGTGAGATCATGACCTGAGCCGAAGTCGGACGCTTAACCGACTGAGCCACCCAGGTGCCCCTAGTTAAGATTTTTAAGTGATCTGTTCCATATGTTTTATTTTATAAGACACTGTTAGGGGAAAAATGTTACTGGGAACATATAAGTTAATGAATCCAAATGATAAAAAATGTTCAAAGGGTAACAGAAGGTCTTTAGCAAATGAACTATTCCTCATTGATACACATTTGAATGAATATAGGCATATAGAGAAAAAAAGAGAATGCTTTGTATGGATTAAAACAATCTGCCACTGACCCTCCTACACTGTTGGTGGGAATGTAAACTGGTACAGCCCCTCTGGAAAACAGTGTGGAGGTTCCTCAGGAAACTAACAATAGAACTCTCTTATGACCCAGCAATAGCACTGCTAGGAATTTACCCAAGGGATACAGAAATGCTGAGGCATAGGAGCACATGTACCCCAATGTTCATAGCAGCACTCTCCACAATAGCTAAAACATGCAAAGAGCCTAAGTGTCCATCAACAGATGAATGGATCAAGAAGATGTGGTTTATCTATACCATGGAATACTCCATGGCAATGAGAAACAATGAAATCTGGCCATGTGTAGCAACATGGATGGACCTTGAGGGTGTTATGCTGAGCGAAATAAGTCAGGCAGAGAAGGACAAATATCATATGTTTGCACGTATAGGAGGATTAGGAGGAACTTGACGGAGGAACAAGGGGGAGAAGAAGGGCGGAAATGGTGGGGGAAAGGGAGAGACACAAACCATGAGAGACTCTTGAATGCTGACAAAAACTGAGGACTGATGGATGTGGGGGGGAGGGGGGGATGGGCATGGAGAAGGGCACTTTGGGGATGAGCACTGAGTGTTATATAGAAACTAATTTGACAATAAACTATTTGTAAAAAAAAAAAAAAAAATAATCTGCCACTGAATATATAGTACAAAAGCTTCCCAAAATTTACTTAAGCAAACCACAAAAAGAATAATTGGTACAAATGAAAGCAAAATCACCATATACAACCACATAGTCTCCACTGCAGTAAAGCTTGGTTTATTAAGAAATATTTGACCTGGGATGCCTGAGTGGCTCAGTCAGTTATGTGTCTGACTTCATGAGCTCAGAAACCCACATTGGGCTCTGTGCTGACAGTTCAGAGCCTGGAGCCTGCTTTAGATTCTGTGTCTCCTTCCCTCACTGCCCCTCCCCACCTCATGCCCTGTCTCTCTCTGTCTCTCAAAATTAAATAAAAATGGTAGAAAAAATAAAAAATAGAGAAATATTTGACCTTACTTCAGTATTACTAACAACTCAGAAAATAAGCCCTCTAAGAATAAACACAGAGTATCTGAATCTAGGAGAGAGACATACAACATTTACCAATCTAGGACTGATAATATAACCACTTGCTATGTCTTCATCAATATATTAACATTGGTAAAATTTTGAAAAGCAGTATAGTTGCATCATCTATCCTCCTTTTTCTTTCTCCTGTCTACTTGGCATCCACGGTTTTGTTGTACCTACGGCTTCATGCCTTACTCTGAATGTCATTCATGAATAGGGGAAGCTCTAAAGCAGATAACTGGTGACTTCATGAATTAATTGTCTATTGACTTGCTATGTGGATATACATTTGGATTAAATTTCGATGAGGTACAGCATAGTATTAAAATGATGAGGTAATTTTAGACAAATATGAAAATGGACATCTTACCCACATGCAGGCCTCAATCCTAACTTTTGAGATGATGCTCCACAAAGAAATGGTTCCTTCAATGCTCTCTTCATCTGGACAAATAATTTGATCAGGATAAGGTGGTTCAGGGAAATTAACTGAATTGCATTCATAAGCAGCTAATGTAACTGAAGCTATATGTGGACCCTGTAAAACAAATATGAGAAACCTCTGATGAGAAATATTAATGAAAAAGGAATTATCAATACACATGTTATTTTAACAGTACCTTAATTACTGTACATAAACAGAAAAATCTTAGCTTCTAAAGAATAAGAATCTAACTACATTTTTCAAGTTGCAGTTGGTAATTTGGAAAAATAATCCTCAGAATCTCTTCCTAGCTTGTTTTTTTAAATTCAGATTGAGGTATAATTTACATATAACAAGTAGTATGTAGGTATATAGTTCAATGAGTTTTGACAAATATAGAACACTTCCATCACTACAAAAATTTCCCTACTGTCCTTTTATAGTCAATTTCCTCCTCCAACACCATACGATTTCTGGCTTTATTTGATTTTACTTATCTATATTCTCATTTGTAAGAATGTTATACCGTTTGATAAAAATATCCTGTGCCCTATTCCTTTAGGCATGATTTGAGAATACCACTATTTTGTCCTTACTTAAAAATAGTTGGTGAAGTAACTACCTCACTTATTCTTCCCAAAGATAAGAGTTCCTAAAACAAAATAAAACTGTGGAACCAAACACTGTGAGTTTTTCTTTTAAAGCAGTATTTTCTATTGGGGATTTTGTGCTACTTTGTACCTTTATTTAAAAATATTACAAATTAGGGGCACATGGGTGGCTGAGTTGGTTGAACGTCCGACTTTGGCTCAGGTCATGATTTTGCAGTTCTGTCAGTGCAGAGCCTTCTTCAGATCCTCTGTCCCTCCTTTCCCTACCCCGCCCACCCCACTTTTTACATTTAAAAAATATTTAAAAATACACAGTAACATAAAATATTACATAATAATAATAATCACATAGGTTAAAATGGATTAATATTAGATGTGTGATAAAGGCTAATGGTTCCCAAGTGTATACGCATGCCAAGATGAGGGGTCTGTATAAGAACCAACTAGGGAGTTTTTTAAATATACAAATTCCTGGGTTCCCTAAGCAGAGGGAAGAGACGGGAACCTGTATGTTTTAAATGAGCTTCTTTAGAATTTCTTTAGAATAGCTTAGGTTCTCTAATAGGCTAGGTTTAGAAACCAATGGGATAACAGTAAATTTTTTTTTTTAATGTTTTATTTATTTCTAGGAGAGAGAGAGAGAGAGACAGCGTGAGCAGGGGAGGGTCAGAGAGAGAGGGAGTCACAGACTGAAACAGGCTCCAGGCTCTGAGCTGGCAGTCAGCACAGAGCCCGACGCAGGGCTCGAACCCACGAACCGCGAGATCATGACCTAAGCGAAAGTCGGACGCTTAACCGACTAAGCCACCCAGGCGCCCCCGGGGATAACAGTAAATTAAGGGTCAGGAATGAAAACAACCTTTTTAAAAATATTTATTGAGAGAGAGAAAGAGAGAGAGAAACCCTGATGCGGTGCTCGAACCCATAAGCCATGAGATCATGATCTGAGCCAAAACCAAGAGTCAGATCCTTAACTAACCGACTGATCTACTCAGCCGCCCCAGGAATTAAATAAATAACCTTAGATAAAGCCACTTAACTTTTTTTCTGGGCCTCAGTTTACTCTTCTGCAAGGCAACAGAATTAGACTCATAGTTTTATTCAGCTCCAAAAATTATCACATATGTAAATTAAAATCTAACAATAATTTCCAAAGTTCTCATGAGGTATCAGAGCTAACCACTGGACATCCTTAGCATGTTGCTCTAACACACAAGCTGCAAATATTTAAAGTATACTGTAGACCTAGTGGCTATAGGCATAACTTCTAGAGCCATAGTTCTGCTTTAGGTTCTGGCCTCTGTCACTCACCTTCTGAGTCTTCTCCTAATCTATAAAATGGAAATAATCAAACACCTTCAGAATCTACATTCTGGGGATACCATAAGGTTTAAAGCAGTCAACTTACATAAAGTACCCAGCTTAAAATAAACCCTCAAAATGTGCTAGCCATTAGTCATTATGAAGAAAAATACTGTATTTGTAGAATAAAATTTTGTAGAATATCTAATAAATAAAAATATATTTAAAAAATTTAAATTATAAAATGTTTTAAATAATATAACATGAAATTATATGTATTAGTATGTAAAAAATATAATTTTATCCTCTCTAGCTCTCTCTATACACATACACACATATAGTAAGTGGTCTCTGTATACAAGAGTTTTTTTTTAATTTCTTAAAGTTTATTTATTTGAGAGAGAGAAAGAGGGTGTGTGTGGTCAGGGAGGAGCAGAAGGAGAAAGAGAATCTTAAGCAGGCTCCATGTTCAGTGCAGAGACCAATGTGGGGCTTGATCTCATTACCGCAAGATCACAACCTGAGCCTATATTAAGAATTGGATGCTTAACTGATTGAGCCACCCAGAGGGCCTGAGAGCCTTTTTAAATCATAAGGTAAAAGAATTTGTGGTTCAAAGACAAAAGTGCACGAGATGCAACAATGAAAATAAAACATTAAGGAACTATTGCTATTAAGATAAAAGGTGATTTAAAACAAAACTTTTGTTTTAAGCTAATATGAAAAATATATTCATAAATCTTAGCTACATTTCTCCCTCTATGCAACTGGCATTATGTGCTCAAATAAAATTTAAAAGATGAAGTTCTCTACTTAGCACTGAATCAATTAATTATTAGTTTTTTCTGGACCAAAAAAAAAAAAATCTATGTGAATTTTTAGTCTCTTCCTCTTTTTCTTGAGTTTTAATTCACAGAAATTCATAGAGTAATATTTACATTAAAAGAATAATTACATAAATGCTTTTGAGTAGTCACATTTTCCTTCAAAGTTATGATTAACCATGAAATCCACAACTGCTTCTTTAAATACTATATGCATAAAAGAGATTTCACAGTTGGGGGGGGGAAATTATTTTGTGATTCTTAAAAAAAGAAGTTTGAGGTTTGTGGAATTCAGAATAATTGAATAATAGTGAAAAATGTCTTATTGTACACACATAGCTAAGTATCAGATGTAATTTAAAAAAAAACATTGTAACTTCCACCTATAATGTATAAAAACACAAAAGAAAAATGTGATACCAGTAAGTAAAACAGAAGAAATTCAAGGGTTGCCCATGATATTCCCACAAACTGTCCCCTGTAAAATATAGGAACAGTTTACTTCTCAACTCTAGAAATGAACTCTAAGTGAACAAAATTAAACTGTACTAGATATTAAAACAATAAGATTTCTGGGATATATAGGAAAGAATAAACTACATTTCTATTCTAGAAATATAAAATATGTACCTCAACAGATGAAACACATTATCCAACAAGATAAAAGACTTATTCATAGTTTCAATTTTAAGTAATTCTAAAAAAGGAAAATTTCAGCAATCTGATGAGAATTTTTCTCTAAAGAAAGGACGGTTCATTCACACAACTAAACTGATATATACTTTCCATAACCACACTAATAAGTCATGATTACTCAGCCTTTGAGGCAGATGTGGTTCCCACAAAATGGACACAAATAACTCAGCTTCTTGTCCTCTGTTCATTCTCAAAAGCCCGTTTAGTCTATACCTTGATATTTTAGTTTAAACTATGTTAATTATAGGAAACTTCCCAAGTTCTTTTTAATATTATAGGTTGATGGTTCCTAAATATAATTGAGTTAAATGAAATAAATATTAGTTTACATGAAAAATCCAAACACCAAGACTAAAAAATTATTTTGATTAAAATATTTTTAAAGGTTACACATATTCAAACTCACTTTTACTTTTATTTTCTAAAACCTACAAGTTCTACTGCAATGTATCAAATGCTAAATATTTTAACTATACTAAATGAAAAAGCAAGGGATAAAAACAAACAGCTATAGTTTAAGTAGAAAACACTATCTGGACAGAACCACCATGAAACAGAAAAACCAATGATGTACTGAGCAGGAGGTTACCTCCCCTGTCTGGAGAGCATTTAGATATTGATATGTATGGATTAGAGATCCTAGCCTTTGGTTGGGGGCTTTCTGTCTCAGATCATGAAGTAAGTGGTACAAACTTTTACACCTACAGTAAACTAGAAGACTGGACAAAACACATGGGACAATTCTTTTCAGGTATTGTACCATAAGCAGTGTATGATTTCTGACTGCTGAATAAAGAATACAAATGAGGAAACCCTACGATGGCTCTGGCTTTTCATTCGTAGATGCATTCCATGTCTATGGCAAAATCCAAAGAGAAAGAGTCCAAGCAAAGCATGGTGGTCTTGGGGTGCCCGGCTGGCTCAGTCTGAAGAGCATGTGACTCAGGGTCATGAGTTTGAGCCCCACGTTGGTGTAGAAATTACTAAAAATAATAAATAAATTTTTAAAAACCCAGCATGGTGGTCTTGCTGAGTTGGGTCCCCTTGAGACTTTGATATACAAAGCTGCATTGCAGGCAGGCTAGGGTAAGATTCCATCAGGCTAGGCAATGTACAAGTAGTGAGAAAGCAACTAACAGGGAGTTGTAAGCTGAACAATTCCTAGAGTTCACAAGGACTAGGAAACACTTGGAGTTCAACCAGCTAGTGTGCAGAGATTCAGCATTCAGGGCAGACCCCAAAAAGAGCCTAGAGTAACAGTTACTCTGAATAGGTCATAATGAGTTTTTTTTGTTTTGTTTTTTTAAAGCCTTAAACAGATCAAGTTGATCCACAGGTAACTTAACTGCCCACCAAAACAGAAAACTGGTGCTCTGCAAAGAAAGACAACAAATTCATACAATCAACAATTTTAATACTGTATGTTCAGCATTCAATAAGAAACAACTAGATCTGTAAAGCATGAAAATATGACCCATAACTAGAAGAAATATTAGTCAACAGAAACAGAAATCTCAGAGATAACAGAGTTAGCAGACAAGAACTTAAAAATAGTAAATATGAATATGTTCAAGGGTTTAAAACAGCAGCTGGCAAACTTCAAATTACAGGCCACACTAGTTTTATAAAAAAAGTTTCAAAGAATACAGCCATGTCCATTCACTTACATATCATCTCTGGC